TACAAATATTTAATCCCCATCAAACTCCAATATCTGCCTTCACTTCCATCTTCTGCATAGGCTGTTGCAGTTTTATGACGTGTTGTGGTGGAACCAGCTCAAAGAATTCAGTCAGACCAGCTGTACTCCAAGTGTAGGCATTTACTGAGATTGATGCCTCTCATGAATCAAGCTAAGTTCCAAGAGGAACCAGCAACTTTAGTGAAAGCAAGAGGGATTTTTATAGGGCAGAGATGCAATTACATAACAGAAATTATGAATATTAAAAAGGTAGAAGGGGTTTGTTAAGGGAGGAGAGGGGTCCCAGCCACAGTGGAGCTATGCATGCACACAGAAAAACCCATGGAGTGGGATATATATGTATGGTCATGATATTATAATAAGCCTCTCTATGTCACAAGTTCACCTAAAGGACAGCTTTTGCTATTACTATGCAGGTGCTTACTTAGGGAAAATCCTTTCTATTGTTTTGGGGGTCTACATCCTGCTTGGGCATCCCAGTGGTGCTGCTTTCTGATTGGCTGATTATTATGGTCCTGTTTGAGGCTAGATGGATATGGTTGTGGTTGAGTTGTGTGGAAAACCTGCTGTTTCTGTGGGAAATATGAGGAATGGGTCTGGGGGCAGTGGCTAGCTAGAGGCAGAGGCTGGGATCCCATCATATGGACATGCCTGCTGTTTCTGTGAGAAATATGAGTTCATGGACACACTGTTGTTCTAGTGAGCAATGAGGCATCTATAAAGAAGTTAGGATATTGAGTCGGGGTGGAGGGGCAGTGGCTAGGTAGGGGCAGTGGGCCTGCTGTTTGGTGGCGCCTATAAGGAAGTTAGAATATTGGGACTGGGGGCAGCTTTATTAGGATTCTATCATAGGCTGTTTTTAAAATCTAAATTTAGTGAGTTGTGTGTTTAGCCACATTAGTCTTTTTAGATATCTCCCTTTCCCCAATTTTTTCCATATCATGGACATTTCTTTTCATTATGTCCTCAGAATTTCATTCTTAAGAACTTCCCATTCCTCTTGGGCTGACTTGCCCTGCAGAATTTTAATTCATATATATTTTTGCTATGTTTAAAATTCCATAAGTAAAAGTTATTTTGGGGCTTAAATAGATCAAACTTGACAACTAGAAGGAAAAAAGGTTTAAAAAAAACCCAACTTATTCTAATAATTCACTAATGGTAACTCATTCTAAATGCACTCCCATAAAGCACAAGATGGCTTTTGTTTGGATTTTTCCCATGAGATAGTCATCTTTTGTCTATCATCAGGACGCACTTTACTGAAACAGAATGTTTGCCTTTTCTTGGTCTTACACTAAGCACTGGTGTGACCTTGACCAAGTTACTTAGGCTTTTTGAGCTTCAATTATCTCTGTAAAAAAAGGGGGAAGTAAGTCCATACTTGCTTGCCGGGGATGTCCCTTTTAGTGATAAGATCCATGATTCCTAAGAGTCTGTGGACCAAAGATTGGAAGTAGAAATGTCTTGGGACTTTTGAATGTTCTGTTTTATTTAAGGAATGTCCATCAAGTCAACAAGCATTTTTTAAGTGCCTACTGTGCATGCCACTGTGCTAAGTGGGCGGATACTGAGAAAGAACAAAAGAAACAATACAAACAAAAATCAAAACCCAAATAACAACAACAAACCAGGCCCTGTTCTGAAAAGCTCACAGTCTAATGGGTGTCTGCCCTTGTAGTCTTCAGTTTTTTTTCTTACCTTGATTCTTGGTCTCACCTTGGGTGAGAAGGGAATTTAAATAAACTTTTTATAATTCTTTCACTGATCCCTCATAGTGAGAATGTAGAGAAGGTTCAAAGAAATAGAGTGATAGAATCGTAGATTTTAGAGCTAAAAAGAATCTTAAAGGGATCTAATTCATCTTCCCCCCATTTACAGATAAGAGAACTGGGTCCTGAGGGGGCAAGTGACTTACTATGGTCCCAAAGGTAAAGTAGCAGAACTGGAATTTGAACATAAATCTTCTGATTCCAAATCCAGTGTTTTTTCCATTTGTTTAAAAAAAAAATAGGTTGGTATGACTAAAAACAGATTTCAATCCATTCACACCTGCCCATCCTAGACAATTCTTGTCCATTTGTTCCAAAAAATTCATCCCAAAGGATCCATCCAATGTGCTAGGTGGGGTATTCCTCAATTTTTCTTGATATCACATAGATATCAATAATGCAAACTGCCCTTCACGTTTGCCATGTGACCAATGCCAAGGATGGGGAACCTGTGGCCTCGAGCCTACATGAGGCCCTCTAGGTCCTCAAGTGCATCCCTTTGACTTTGAATCCAAACTTCACAGAACACATCCCCTTAATAAAAGGATTTGTCCTTTAAAACTTGGACTCAGTCAAAAGGCTGCACCCAGGGACCTAGAAGGCCACATGTGGCCCAGAGGCCCCAGGTTCCCCACCCCTGGACCAACCTATCTTTTTTGAACAACATTTCACTGATAACAACTTTTACTCTGGTTCTCTTTTGTATTTCTCTGGGCTTTTTTTTTAATGTGCTGTAGCTTGCTCACACCCATCACATGCCTCTCCTGTCCTCTGAGTGACACTAATTTTCAATTGTTCACATGGTAGTATTCTGTAACTTGTAACCACAAAACAGCAGTGAAACAATATAGGTATTAAAAAGATGAGTCAGTGACTAAGAATCTCCTCAAGACAATGGAGTGAATAGAAGCATAACAGCCCGTTTCTCTCTCACAACTAGTCCAGCAAGGATTTAAAAAGAACACAAGACTGAGAAATAATTAACAATACCAGGAGAAATGGTAAGTGCATTTTTCTAGTCAAAGCCTTTGGAAAGAGGCATCCATAAAGAGATGCTTATAGGCACTGTGAAAGGGGTGAAGACAGAAAAGCCATTGCTGAGAATATTGTTCCTGAAAGTCTTCTACTTCACAGACTAGAGTCTAAGGATATAGAGAGTTCAGCTGCATTGCTTTGACCTTGAACTGAAAGCCTGGGGGAAGAGGTCATGAGCCTGTGGGACTCAGATCAGGAGGGCAAGAATCAGACTGAGGTCTGGATCAGACCTTTCCTGCATAGCATGCTGGCCAGAGCTACCCTAGATGTCCTTGAATAACACAGCAAGCGTGACAAAAACCCAGATAACAGAGATCAGAAATGAACAATGTCCCACTATTCCTTCCAGAAATATGCAGTGTTGACACAAAGTTCCAATTCAAGAAGTAAGTCTGGAAAAATGAGTAAACAAACAAAATTCCATCAAAGAAATATTACGGAACTAGGGATAGCCAAGACAGAAATCCAGAATAAAAGAATAACTCCGCATTATCTGCAATCAAAGCCTCACCCAAAATCACAGATTTGCCACAAGCTCTACTGGAATTCATAGGAGAAATGAAGCAAGAGTTTGATTTTAAATGCTATAAATTAAAAGACTCTCTGGTAAAGAATAGGGAAAAAATGAGAGCTCTTGAGTAAAGAATTGGAAGGCGAATAAATAACTTAACACTGGAAGGGCAAAGCCTTACTCAAGTAACAGACTCCTTGAAAATTAGAGTAGACCAAACAGAAATCAGTGACTATATAAGAGAACAAGAAATATTAGAACACAGTTGAAAAACTGAGAAAAATAGAAGAAAATGTGAGGTATTTTCTATAAAAACAAAAATCTCACCTGGAAAACAAACTATGAGGAAATGATATAAGAATCACCAGACTATTAAAAAATCATGACCATAAAGAGCCTAGATACTGTATTTAAGAAACCATGAATGAAAGCTTCCCAAACTTATTAGAACTAGAGGGCAGCATAAAAGTAGAAATTATCTGCCAGTCACTTTCTGAAAGAAATCTCAAAATGAAAACTTGAATGAACTTCACATCCACAGTCCAGAGGCTCCTTGTCAAAGAAAAAAAGCTCACAATCAGCCAGAAAGAAAGAATTTAACCACAAAGGGACCATACTCAGGATCACACAAGACCTGTTAACTACCACACTAAAACGCTATGACAGTACATCAAAAAATTATTTACTATTAACAAGTAGTATTTATGCCAAGAATTCAAGGTTGGTTTAATATTGGGAAAACTATAAATATAACAGACCATGTTAATAACAAAAAACAATAAAAATCACATGAGCATCATCAATAGATGCAGAAAAGGTTTTTTGACAAAACAGAACACCTATTTCTGGTTTTGAGAAAAAATTAAAGCAGAGACATTTCCTTAATATGGCAAAGAGGAATAATTGTAAGAGGTTAAATTATATGGAATTGGTGGGCTGTTATCCTTCATTCTCAAAGGGGACCAAAATGACATCACTATGTTGGAGTCAAGGTACTGTGTGTCTGACTGGCGGCTAATCAGACCAATATGAGCTCAGAAGGCTCTACCACAGGTTGGGCATAAATATTCCACATGAACATTTGGAGTGGAGATGTCTCTAAATTTATGCATCTCACATTTCTTTGAGCTACTGCAATTCTGCTTCGCTCATAGATTATACCTTCTTTGACATGGGCATGCCATGCTGGGTGGTCCTTTGCCAGTGTCTCCCATGTCATGCGATCTGAATTCCAGATTGCAGAGTTCTTCAGAGAGACCTTGAGAGTGTCCTTGTATTGCACCTTCTAACCTCCATGTGAGTGCATGCCTTTTGTGAGTTCTCTGTAAAATAATCTTTTAGGCAAACATAAGTTTGGCATTCTAACCAGACCATCAGAATTGCACTTTCTGCAGTAGAGTTTGAATGGTTGGCAGTTTAGCTTGAAAAAGGACCTTGGTGCCCTGTACCTTATCTTATCAGATAATCTTCAGAATCTTCCTAATACAATTCAAATGGAAGTGATTGAGTTTCCTGGCATGGCACTGATATACCGTCCAGGTTTCGCAGGCATACAACAATGAGGTCAGCACAACGGCTCCGTAGATCTTCATTCAGTTTGGTAGGCAATCTAATATCTTTTCTCTCTCATGCTTTCCTTCAGAGCCTCCTGAACACTGAACTAGATCTGGTAATTAATGTATGAACCTCATCAACTATGTGTACATCCCTGGAAAGTATGCCACCAAGGTAAGTGAACTTATCCACAGCACTCAATATTTCTCCATTTACTGTAACCGATGTTTCCATGGATGGATGGTGCTGGGTGGTGGAGAACCTGATTTTGTTATTGTTGTTAATTGTCAGTCCAAAATCAGCACGTAGAATCCATACTTTGTTGCATCTCAACTTCAGAGGCTGCACAATCATCTGCAAACAAAAAATCATGCACCAGCTCTCTCCCCATTAGTCTTGGTGTGTAGTCTTTTTAAGTTAAATAATTTACCTTCAGTATGGTGGCTGACCTTGATGCCATTTTCATCCTTGTTGAAAGCGTATGATAACATTGCTAAAAACATCGTGCTAAAAAATATGGAAGCAAGTACAGGGCCCTGCTTCACTCCCCTGGTGACTGGGAAAGCAGGAGAACATCATCCATCAGCCAGAACCCAGGCAAGCATGCTGTCATGACACTGATGTACAATACTGATGAACATCTCTAGGCAACCAAATTTTGCCATGATTTTCCACAACCTCTCACAACTGACATTATCAAAGACCTTGGTCATATTGACAATGGATGTATACAGACCCCTGTTCTGTTCCTGGAATTTTTCCTGGACTCGTTGGGCAGCAAATACCATGTTGACCATTTCTCAGCCCTGATGAGCCACACTGGCTCTCAGGTAGATGACCATCTTCCAGGTGAAGGATCAGCCTATTAAGGAAGACCCTGGCAAGAATCTTGCTGTCAGTGACTGAGAGATACCCTCCACCCTGTGATTATCACAGGACAACCCATTTCTTTTTCCTTTATAGAGATGGACAATGGAGGCATCCTTGAACTCTTCCGAAGATTTCAGTCAGCTTTTATGAGCAGTAGACTCCCTGCCTTGTAAATCTCTGCTGGAATAGAATCAGCACCAGGCACTTTGCTACATGAGAGGAGCCAAATAGCATTCAAAACCTCTTCTTTAGTTGAAGTTCAGCTAAAGAGGAATTGACTTCAACCTGAGATATACAGTCAATGGGCTTCAGCATTGGCTAATGAGGATTTGTTGAAAACATTATCAAAGTGTTCAGCCCATCTCTCCAGGATCATGTTTTATCACTAATCAATGTGGCTCCATCAGCACTGAATAGTTGAGATGCACCATGGGTCTTTGGTCCACAAATAGCTTCCAGGGCATCATAAAAGCACTTTGAATTGTTACTGTCAGTGTAAAACTGAATTTCATCTGTTTTCTTGCTGAGCCAAGAATCCTGCACCTCTCTAAGCTTCGCTTGATGGAGTTAAACACTGCCTTCTTAGAAATGGATGAATTATCCTGCTGGTAAACCCTGTGGAGTTCTCTTATCTTTTGGTTAGCAGCTTCTGAATTTCCCCACCATTTTTGTCAAACCAATCTTGATGTTTGTGAGTCACGTTGTGGCTACAGCTCCCAGTGTATCCTCACCTACTGCTTCATCACTTATCTATTACCACAGGCCTTTAAGGTAGGTAAAAATGGTAAAATGGTATGGGTGATATCTTTTGATTCATGCATAAATTGGATTTAAGTGAGGCAGAGTTGCATGAAGTTGCTAGCCTCACTATCTTTTCCAGACTCATTGGAGTCCAGTAGCTGGACCAAGTCAAGAGGACTGGCGGTGGCTCAGGATGCAGTGGAGGACCTTGGCATCTTCAGTATCTAACAAAGCTCTAAGCTCTCCACGATGCCTGCTTCAGCCACCTTCATGGACATTGGAACAAATTGTTCTTGTCCATTCATTCCAGCAGGGAAAGTCTTCACATGCCTAACTCATTGAAGGATTTGAGACCTCTCGGTTACCCTCAACCTGGTTTAGCCCATCTGCTGAAACAGTTCACTGGGGTGCAGCTCTTGCACATGCTACTCTTGGAGCCACAGGTCAGAGTTGGGTGAATCCAGAGGACGCCCAAGGTGGAAAGTAGCCCTGAAAAGGGCTCATCAGGTCTCACACTAGACGCGCTAGTCTCCCCCAAACACACCTTGCACCCTAATAAGCTAGACATCTTTCCATTAATACTGGAGTAAAGCAAGGATGTCTTACCACCGTTAGTATTTGATATGCTAACTTGGTGATTTTCACAAATACTTTTCATACACCTTCACGTAATTCTCACTGAAGAAGAATTGAATCAGGCTTTCTTAATCTTAATGCCTTCCCTCTGACATTACCACCAATTTATCCTCTATGTATCTTGTTTGTACATAGTCGTTTTCGTGTTTTCTCCCATTAGACTGTGAGCTCTTTGAAGGCAGGGACTGTTTTTTGCCTTTCTATGTATCCCTAGTACTTAGCATAATGCGTGGCACCTAGTAGTTACTTAATAATCCTTGATAAATGACTTATTATTAGTGTCGTATGGCCTCTACAATAATTCATAGGGGATTCATTGTGTAGTATTGATTTTAATTTAGTGCAAAAGTTATTAAGTTAGGGGCAGGTAGGTGGTACAGTGGATATAGCACTGTCTCTGGATTCAGGAAGACCTGAGTTCAAATCTGACCTCAGACACATAACCTTTATTAGCTGTGTGATCCTGGGCAAGTCACTTAACCTCATTGCCTAGCCAAAAACAAAACAAAACAAAACAAAATGTTATTAAGTTAGTTGCCTAGCACAAGTAACTTCCTGTTTCATGCCATGATGAGCAGTGCTCTCAGCCCTGCTATTCATTTTTTGTTTAGCCTGGACCTATGATTTCACTGGTGCAGGGAAAGCCAAATGAGGAAATTACCTTTACCAATGAAGATCCGTACATCTTCTGCAACTTACAGTCTATACAGAGTTTCCTGAGTAACTTGTCCAGAGTCATACAGCCAGTATATATGGGAGACCTCAAATCTTTGATCTCTATCCACTATACACCGCTTCTCCTCAGCCCTATTATACATGAACCCTCCCCCCACCCAACCAAAAATCCACAAAATTCCCTTTGTAGTCTTATGATTTTTATAAGGTGAGAAATACTTACTTGCAATTTCCTGATCCTCTACTCCCCAAGGAACCATCCACATGGCAGAGAACTAGAAAAACCCCAAAACATTTTTCCTGTAACTTCCTTAAATGAGAACGTGCATGGAATGGTGGTTAAGAAGCTAACCTTGAAGCCAGGAACAGCTGGGTTCAGGCCCTTTTCTGACACTTTCTGTCACTAACCCTCTGGTCCACAGCCTTAAGAAATATACTTACTGTGTACCTCGTCTTGAGTGAGCCCTGGTTTGATTTGTGAATCTGATTTGGTCTTGACTGTAAGCATATGCTCATATTTTCCCTTGTGAGACTGGTTTAACATTAAACATTGCTGAACCCCAAGGGGCTGGAGTACTGTACCACATTCCCTTTCCCATTAAGGTGTCCCTCTATTCTGCACCAAAGCATCTGGTTTGAACTGGGTTCTGTCTTAGGGAGCCGGGCCTCTAATGAGAAGGGAGCAAAGTTTCCTTTTATCATACATTAAACTCCTTCTCCAGTGTCCTGGGGAAAGATATACTTGTAGCTTAGGCTGTGGTTCATGTCTAGGGTTTCCCCAAAAGGAGGAATTTAAGAGTACGTTGGTATTCAGTTAAGTACCAAGGTATTCAATGAACAGAAGTAGGACATGGAGTGTTGTGTGAATGAAACGGATAGAAGGTCAATTTGGCTGGAGTAATATCCAATAACCCTGAAAAGATAGATGAATTTGGTATAGAACAATTATTTCATTCCTATGTAAAAAAGAAATACTAATATAAAAGACTGACAGCTAATAATCAGCCAATAAAATTTTACTAATTTTAATGTTAATCTCCTACTGTGTTCCAGGCTCTATGCTAAGTACTGAGGATACAAAAAGAGGCAAAAGACAGTCCAGTCCTTATACTCAAGGAGCTCACAGTCTAATGGGGTAGACAACATGCAAACAAATATATACAAAGTAAGCTATGTACAGGATAAATAAGAAATAATTAAAAGAGGGAAAGCACTGGAATTAAGAGAGGTTGGGGAATGCTTCCTTTAGAAGATGGGATTTTAAGGGGCCCCTGGGTGGCGCAGTGGATAGAGCACTGGCCCTGGAGTCAGGAGGACCTGAGTTCGAATCAGGTCTCAGACCAAACACTTGACACTAGCTGTGTGACCCTGGGCAAGTCACTTCACCCCAACTGCCTTGCAAAAAAAAAAAAACCCAAAACAAAAAGAAGGTGGGATTTTAGTTGGCACTTAAAGGAAGCCAGGGAGATCAGTAGTTGGAGCAGAGGAGGAAGAGTATTCCAGTACAAGAGACAGCCAGAGAGAATGCCTGGAGCTAAGGGATGGAGTATCTTGTTCGTAGAACAGCCAGGAAGCCAGTGTCACTGGACTGAAGAGCATGTGTTGGGGAGTAAGAGGTAAAAAGACTGGAAAGGTAGGAGGAGACTAGACTATAAAGGGCTTTGGATGCCAAACAAAGCGTTTTGTATTTTCTCCAGGAAGCAAGAGGGAGCCACTACAGGGGTGACATGGTTGGACCTGAGTTTCAAAAAATGACTTTAGTGGCTGAATGGAGGATGGATTGGAGTGGGAGAGACTTGAGGCAGGCAGACCCACCAGAGGTTATTGCAATGGTCCAGATGTGGTGATGAGGGCCTGCACTAGAATGTTGACAATTTCAGAGGAGGAATAAGCGCCTCTCCAATTCACAAGGTCAGCTCCCAGCTTAGACACATCCACCTCCAAGTTACTCAGGAAAGGAAACACAAAGTAGGAAAAGTCTGCCCTGGGTTCAGGTGCAAGCTCACCTAGTTGAAGCCATGCTTCATGTGAGAGCAGCACAGGGGATAGGAGGAAAAGCACAGCTCCCCAACTTTGCTCATGGAGGGTCTAGAGAAAGAGAGCAGAACTGCTTAAAGGGGAGTCAAGAAAAGGTCTCCTTATTTAACTGACCCAACATACCACCCCCATTGACATTGCCCAAGGGGCCACTCAGGGTTTGCCACATACATACACACTTCATAGTCCTTTCAGCTTTGGGTCACCACATGACT